CTAATCTTAAAATCTTAAAAACTAAGGCCTTTTTACTAACAGAGATATTTTCCAGTTTTCCAGAAAACTGGAAAACTGGAAAACAGAAAACAGAAAACGTGTTTACCAAAGAAATTTCTCGAAAACTGGAGAAAGGAAAAAAGAAAAACGCGTTTACCAAATCGTTTTCCAAAACAGAAAAACTGAGACATGTTTCTCTTTTCCTTAATAATTTAGAAAAGTGACTTTTACTAGTTTTCCAAATTTGGAAAACGCAGATGCTACAGTGCCGCTGCAATGAATTTGCATACTTACACCTAGTGGTGGGTCCGGTCCTGCTCCGATGTCGATTCCATTCCGGTACCTCCATCCTCGTACCTTACCCCTTACCCCTACCCTACCCTACCCACCCAACCTTACCCCGCGTACCCATTTTTCCCTATAATGATCCTACCCCACCCCCTATCACATGCCCCCTACCTCAGCCCCACACCGATCCACCCTACCGCTAACCCCTACCGCCTCGACCCCACCCCGACCCACCCTAGGGACCCCCACCCGTATATTACCCCTTACGACATGCCCCCTACCTCGGCCCCACCCCACCCCACCGCCATCCTACCCCCACCCTCGTACCACCATCCTACTCCCCATCCTACCCTTCCCCTACCTCGGCCCAACCCGGATCCCGGGCCCACCCCTACCGCCATCCTATCCCAACTCACTACCCTACCCCTACCCAACCCTAACCCACTACCCCCACCCTACCCCTTCCCTACTTCGGCCTCACCCTGGTCTCGGCCCCACCCTACCGCCATCCTATCCCAACTCCTTACCCTACCCCTACCTTACCCCAACCCCAACCCTACCCACTACCCCCACCCTTAACCACCATCCTACCCCCCACCATACCCCTTCCCTACATCGGCCCCACCCTGGTCCCGGCCCCACCCTACCGCCATCCTATCCCAACTCCCCACCCTATCCCTACCTTACACCAACCCTACCCACTACCCCACCCTTACCCCTAACCACAACCCTAACCCACCCAACCCCTACCCCTAGACCTTACCACCCCACCCCACCCCCACCCATAACTTCCCTATCCCGACCCCTACGAGTAGGTATGGGTGGGTATGAAGGGTTGTGGGGGAGTTTGGGTAGAGTAAGATCGTGGTAAGAGTAGGGGTAGGGGTCAAGGACTCAAGGGTGTGGAATTGGAGAACTGGGTGAAAAAATTGATGAACATGTTTTCAGATTTGAGAATGGAAAACTGAAAAATAGAAACAGAAAATTGGAGATAGAAAAACTGAAAAATAAAAACAGAAAATTGGAGAACGAAAAACAGAAGTAGAAAACAGGAAAATATCTCTGTTAGTAAACAGGCCCTAAAATTTTGGATATAACATATGGGCTAATACTATGTGTTTTTTGAAACACATAGAGGATCTCTGGGATACACAATCATTTTTGTCACGAACCTAATAGAGAATTCCAAATTTCCAATTATAGGTTACACACACTATATCTATGAGAACCAATGAACAATGAAAATATATAATTCTTTAGAGCAGGAAAAAAAACACAATAAGAACTACTAAAATGCTTATAGGTAAGTTGTGGTAAATAGAGTATAAAAAGATTAGAGTATGTATAAAAAGCTATGTATTGTATTACAGTACACATATTTATTAGAGTATTTATTTTTTATTTAAAAGCTATGTATAAAAAGATTAAAAACAGATGGTAATAATAGGTTATTTGAATCAGTTATTGCTCTTATGCCTCAATAGGTTATTAATAAAAATAAAAATAGGTATACCGGAATAAGCAAACAGTAATGGGAAACTCAACTGAAGCAAGTAGACATGTTAGGGAAGAATATGCAGTTTTAGATGATCAGATTAGGCAAGAATTTAGCACTGGCGATCAGTCTATCAAAGTTAGTTTTTTTGAACAAAGAGACAAAATACATCGCAAAGTAGTGATGAAATTACCTTTTAACCTGCAAAAATCAAAATAGTGATTAAGTTATGTGTTTACCAAATCGATGGACGTTAAAATCATTGATTAATTTACTTTTTGTACGTAAACAAAAAACAATCAAACCCACCTGAAAGTTTTGCACTTTTGCCTCCCATCTCCTATGGAAAATGCAATTTCTTAATAATGAGTGCCTGAATGTATTTTGTCCTGTTTTTATAAAGAACCTGTACAAAGAGTTAAACCCCAAAAGGATAAAATTTGGTTCAGGATAAATGTTTTCTGTTACGTATAAGAGAAAATTTTTTAGGGAACATATATTGGGGAACATAATGTTGACTGCGATTGGTGCCTGGAGAATGAAACGTAAAATTGATGAAGAAATCAAATAAGGGCTAGGGTAACCGTCTAGGGATGCAATGAATGGGGGAGAGAAGCTATTCAATAAGGGAGAGAAGCGGGAAAATAATTGGGAGAAGGGATTCTGCTTTTAGGTATATATATAGGATAGGATTGGTTATCATTATAAAAACTTTGAGAAGTTTTTGCGTGGTTGATACATTTTTTTAATTCACTTTTATGCAAAAGGCTCACTAGAAGAACTCATTGAAAAGAAAGTACTCAATGTTACACAGTTCATCTGAATCATCAATCAAAACAAGAAGTAAATATTTAAATTGCTCTTACCCTTTATCAATGTAGTACCCTGTGCTTGCAGACAGACTAATCTAACTAATCACATCTTTGCATCATTATATTTACATCTTAATGGTCTTTGATGGAGTATTAATTCGAGAGAGAAGTGAGAGCTAGAGAGAAAAAGTGAGTAATTATATTTCTCAACTTGGAACCCCCTATAATTAGCCATTTGGGGTCTATTTATAGGTAAAAATGTGGATTTGGGCCCCTAGCCTTGGGCTTAGGAGGCCCATTACAATAATCATGCCTTCTTTGGGCAAATAAGGCTACTAATGGGCTGAGTACAACACTTAGTACGTAAAATAGGAAAGTACATTCTATGCGGGCGAAGTTCGGACGATGCGGTCCATGGACGATGCGGTCCATGGACGATGCGGTCCATGGACGATGCGGTCCATGGACGATGCGGTCCATGGACGATGCGGTCCATGGATGATGCGGTCCATGGACGATGTCGTCCAAATAAATCAGGCGATATCTTCTTTCTTGGACGGTACGTGCCTCTGGCCGATGCGAGTGTCCCGCTGGTGTCTTTTGGGCCGTTGAGTATGTGGGCCATGGGGTCCAGGCCTATATACTCTATCAGGAGTCCCCCACTCTCTGAGCTGAGGTGAAGCTGAAGCGAAAGGGAGTACTTGTTCCTTTCTGGCTGGCCGTTGCGTGAGCCTTTTGTGCTTGATGGACGAAGAGTTTCTGCTTCGATTTTGGATGAAGCGATTCCCTTTTCTTTTATGTAGATGAAGCATTTTCTTGTAACTCCGGCTCTGCGCTACGCCCTTTGTTTCCTGCCCGCGGCCGTTGCGGTTCTTTGCTATTGGCGGACGCAGCGTCCTGTTTATTTGTGGCAAAGCTGGACGAGGCGAACCCCTTGCGTTGTATCTATTTCCAGCCTGATCTTTTATGTCTTGCAGACGATGCGTTTCATTCCTCATTCTTTCCTTGTGTTTAGACGATGCGGTTACCCTCGTTGGTAGATGTAGCGGCACCACTCATGAGTGAGCCGTTGCGCCTTTATTTTTGTTTGGACGAGGCGTTTCACTTTTTTTGTGCGTAGCTGGTAGTCCCCCAGTGTGCGCAGCCGTTGCGCGCTAGATCCTGCATTTTAGGTTTTTAATTTTGGATTCTGTGGCCGATGCGATCTGCAATGCTCTTGAGGCAGCTGATGCGACTCTTCATGCTTATTTGAGGTGAATTGTCCTTCTGTTGCTGGTGAGTCGTAGCGCACCCTTTTGTATTAAGGCCGTTGCGGTTTCCCTTCTTGTGGCCGATACAGTCCCCCAGTCCCCCACTCCTTTGGCCGAAGAGCATCTGAGGCACAAGGGAGTAATGAGCCGATTCGGTACCTATGCGTTGGTCGCGACTCCAACCCTTAGGCGCACCTGTCCAAGGTAACCCTGTGGGAGAACCCTTGGACGAAGGCCGCAATGCCAGGGTTATCATCGATGATGCACGCACAGGCAGCCTTAGCGGTCTATTAAGGTTCCTTGGGTTGTTGTGAGGACGTTGAGTTTAGGCCGATGCGTTCCCCTTTGGAGTTTTGTAGTAATTGGGCCGCAGCGGTACTCGGCCGATGCCTTGCTTATTTGAGTTCAAGTTGGGCCGTAGGGGATACTTCCATGAGTGATATTGAATAGGTGCCTCTTGATTGGTTGTTGGGGAGGTGGTCGTTTGTTGTAACCAATGCGCGGATGCCACGTGTAGTGGCCGTTGGAGGGGTTCCTATAAGTACCTCCTCACTCCGAAGCCTTTTCCTCATTTGCGATTTGCTGAGCTGAATTGCTGCTGAGATTTCTAGAGAGAGAAGTGCTTCCCAGCAATCGTCAAGTGTTCTTCAGACCTTCAAAAGTTCAAGGTTAGATTCTTGAATTTGTTCTTCCTTTTCTTTATATTTTGCTTCCTAGGGGGTTAGATCTAGTGTTTGTAGGAAAAACCACTTTGATCCTCGAACCGCCCTTAGGACGTAGCAATAGTTGTCATGCCGTTCCCTGACGGCCGTAGCGTCCCCTCTCCTCTTAACTTAACAACTTCTTTGGACGAGTCGGACTGGCCTTTTGACGACGAGGACCCGTCTCCTGGAGTTAACCTTGAGGTGATTCGAGCCTTTGAAACAGAGATGGAGAATACGGCTGATTACCGCACTTCTCAGGACGAGGAGCGTCTGAGCGATGATGCGGGTTCCCAATCATCGGGCGAGGACGAAGCGAGCTCTGACCCCAAGCTTCGAGGAGACGAGGCGGGTGATGCCTCCTCGGCTGCTATCCCATGTCCGCCGCCCATTTCATCTGTGCCAGGTGGGGCGTCGTCTTCAAAGGTCACCAAGAAACGCGGGTCGCGTCGGAGGAAAGCTGCGGCTGGTGGGCTTTCCCAGTTAGACTTGACAAACCTGTATGTCATAAGGCCTGAAAGCACCCGAGGCGAGTACCATCTGGCTTAGCTGTATGTTGGGCCTTATGGGAAGGTGAGGGAGCTGAGACCGACTGATCATGTTCTGGATCCTCCTCCTGGGTACTTCGGGGTTTATCCGATGGGGTTCTCGCAAGGACTACGGTTTCCGTTGCCCCCTTTTGTGATTGAGTACCTGAATATGGTAGATCTTCCTCCGGCGCTCTTGACGCCGAATAGTTTCTCGCTGATCGTCGGGTTCCTCATCCGGTGCGATGAGCTCGGCTTTGAGCCCACGACGGCTCTTTTTACCAATTTGTTCCGGATCGGCCGAGGGAGCCATAAGAATTGTGCTGGTTACGCTACGCTTCAGCAACTCTCGGAGAAGAAATCTTTTAAAGACCTTCCTTCGTCTATCCATGGGTGGAAGGCGAAGTTTGTGTTCGTGAAGTTGGCCGATGGGGTTTTCTTTCCTTCGCAAGGGCATAATGGTAAGTTTAGCCTGCATAATCCGCCGCGAAGCGCTGAGCTCGATGCCCAAGTTGAGGCATTCCTGAAAGGTGGGCCGAGGAGTGTGAACACGTACATCACTGAGTTTAAGATTGCAGCTCTCGGGATGATGCAGTATTACATTCCTGGCGACCCGGATTGCGGTTTGTGGCCGAGGATCTCTGGCTCTTTTGAACAGGCCGATGGGCCACTTATTGGGATTCCGGCCGAGGCCGAAGGTTGATACTTGACTTTGAATCTCTTTTGTATTTCATATTTTTTTGTGTCTAATCTCTTTTTTTTCTTTGGTGTCGTCCTTACAGGTTACGAGATGAGTCGCAAAATGTTCATGGCCCAGGCCAAGAAGCATGTTGCTAAGGAGTTGGAGGCTGCCCAGCGAGCCGAGGCGTCCAAGGGTTCTGGCGACGGCTCTAAGAGTCTTGCTGATGCGGCAAAAAAGCCGGTGGTGAAGAGGAAGAAAGCCGCTGAGGGCCAGCGTACTCTCACCGAGACGGGTCTGGTGCCGTCTCAAGGTGCTAAGAAGACGAAGTCGAACCCTCCCCTCAATGATGCTGCTATGGCCGATGCGCAGGCATCGGTTCAAGGGGGAGCTGCCTCCGATGTAGAAGTCATCGAGGATCTGACATTGAATGTCACCTCGTCCACTTTAGTTCCTGACAAATCCGGTGCTGCTGCTAAAGAGAGGGCCCGCGCCAGTCGAGACCTGACCTCCGGTCTTTATGAGGTGACGGTGCGGTACCCGCCGAAGGGCGGTTTGTTCAATGAGAAGGTTTCTGGGCACGACGTCCTGTTCCAGGCCATTCCTGATGCTGACAGGGAGTACCTGCGTCGGCAGAGCAAGGATGTGCGCCTCTTTGATGGCGGGTAGGACTTCGTCGTCCAAGTAAGTGTCTGAGTTCGTACTTGTAGTATTTGCCTTATTTTTCCTTCGTTTTTCTGACCTTGGCTTTGTTTCTACAGGGTGCCTTCATGCTGATGGAGCAGCAGCGTCGGCAGGTCGAGGAGCTTGCTCGCCTTCGGGAGGCTGAGAAGAAAGCCGCTTCTGCTGACGAGGCGCTTTCCCAGTTGGAGCGGCTTCGAACTGAGACCGACTCCCTGAAGGACAAGTCTGATGCGGCTGAAAGGAGAGCCGTTGCTGCTGAGGACGAGGCGAGGCGCCTCAAAGTTCAGCTGGACGAGGAAGCGGCTGCCCGTCGGCTGGCAGAGGAAAAGGCTGCACAGCTAGAGGCCGATGTGACTGTGGCTGCCGATAAAGCCATTGAGCTCTTCATGGCTGAAGGGTGGAAAGACGAGGCCCGACGCGATTGGAGTTATAACGTCGTAGCGGAGCGCTTTGAGGCGTGGTCGCAAGAGGAAGCCGGTCGAGCTTGCCTCAAACAGAAGTTTGAAGTCTGGTACGACCTCGGCCAGAGGCGTATGCAGATGTTGGTTTACCGCCGCCTCCGCCGCCGTGTAAAAAACTTGAAGCCCAGGGGTATCGGCCTTCCTCGGCTAATGAAGGACCCTGAGGAGGAGTTGAAACTCCCACTGTCCGAAAGGCAACCCCCCATTCTGAGCTCAGACGAGGAGGACGGGCCCTGGACCGAGAGCGACGACTACCTCTTCCGGAGCTCGGCCAAGTCTAAGAATACCGATGATGAGCAGGATGATGCGGACAGCGGAGCCGTTGAGGGTGGTCAAGTACAAGCTGTTTAGTGTTTCCTTGTACTTGATTTTCTTTTTTCATTTGTAGTAGTAGTCTCAATGGCCGAAGCGCCGTAATGCATGTAAAGGCCGAAGCGCCCTCCTTGTATGTTTTGAATCATCAATTAAAGATAACTCTTTTTGTCCAAGTATAAATGTTTGTTGCTCCGTCTTCATAGCTTTTGATTTGTGAATCGTTGGTATCGCATCGTCTCTGTACTCATTGCTTTTACAGGTTTTCATCTTTTGCAAATTTGGCCAAGTGTTGGTGAGCATGCTTCGGTTGATTGAGATGAAGCGTTCCTCTGATGTGTCCACGGATATGCTTCCCTTGTCGGAGATGATGCGGTTTGATGGTGTAGCATCTTTTAGACGAAACGCGCGCTCCTGGTTGTGATTTAGGGCCGCATCCCCGTCTTTACCGCTTTGTTTTTGTATACCTTCTAATTCTCGCGTTTTTTGCTAAGTGTCAGTTCTACATATCCGTGTTTGATTGAGACGAAGCGTCCCTCGTCTATGTATTTATGTAGATTGTTTTTCTTGGAATTTTTCTAAGTGTGGGCACCCAAACATGCCTTGCTTGCTTAAGACGATGCGAAGCTTTATCCGGGTGCCTCATGAGACGATGTGGGTGGTGCGACGTCTCGGGTATGTTGTCCTTTGTCGTAGGGACGATGTGTCCAGTAACGCGTGCCTTTGGAAACTTTTCCAAGTATCACAGTTCCGTTTTTGCGTCTTTTGATTGAGACGTAGCGACCTTCCTTTCTTTGAAGACGATGCGCCTCGTCGTCCCTTGATGAATTCCATTTTTGCCTTTACATCTTTCCCGAAGTCGAGTTTTTGGAACTTTAATCCTGAAGTGTTGAGGACGAAGCGATGCCCAGATATGGAATGGTAGCACATCGTCTCTCTTGTAGTGTGACTTAGAAAATGTTCTAAGTGTCAAACTTGCCTTGATGGAGCTGTTTCGCTTCGGTTCGTCACTTGGGTTTTGCTACGTGGACTGGTTTTGTATAACCGAAACCGAAGCGATTCCCTCTTATGAAGCTGTGGTTGAGGCCGAAGCGTGTACTTCGGATTCCTGTATAGTGAAAACCTGATATGTACTTAGCCGATTTGAGGCTTGGTTGTGGGGATTTTGTTTTATGCTCGAGGCCGGCGAGTGCGCGGTCCGTCGGCTTCCCTCTTTTTTTTTTTTTAGGTGGCCGAAGGGTTACTGTCCCTTCGTCCATGTGCGGTAGTTTGTCCGCTACGCTCTTCGCGTGAATTAGTGCGAGGGAGTAAATACGCCCTCGGCTTGGTGTGTCAGTGGCATCTTTTTTTGGCCTTTCCACGTCTATCGTCGACGAGGGACCGGACTAGGCATCGTCTTTTGACGGCCGCCCTTTGTGGTCCTGAGCGAAATTTTACTGACGGGTGGAGTTTTTGTAACCTCAGCCTTAATTCAGGCCTGTCGTCCTGCGGTTTCCGCGCGGACGACGCGGTATGCTTCTCCGTTTGAAGACGTCGGACCATGCACACAGGTCCTTCGTCCTGCATATCGCCGGCCGATTTGGGTGTTTCACCGCTTGTGTCGATACGATATTTAGGTGCGTTGTCTATGCAAAGGCTTTGCAGGCGCATTGTGGATCGCAACGGCCTTAGGTGCGTTATGTATTGCAACGGCTTTGGGTGCGTTGTTTATTGCAACGGCTTTTGGTGCGTCGTTTATTGCGACGGCTTTACGTGCGTTGTTTATTGCAACGGCTTTAGGTGCGTTGTTTATCGCGACGGCTTTACGTGCGTTGTTTATTGCAACGGCTTTAGGTGCGTCGTTTATCGCGACGGCTTTAGGTGCGTCGTTTATTGCGACGGCTTTAGGTCGCATCGGACCCGGGTGTTTGCACCGTTTAGGCCGATGCGGTCCTTGGGTTTTCCTTTGCTCAAATCTTAAAAGATTGGATGAAACGTGAATTTTATTCGATAAGTGGCGCTAGGCCGAGGGTGTTTTATTCAACCAATAAGCCGAGGGGTGGGGGACGTTGCCCGCTTCACCACTTCTCGAGTCATTGGTAAAATTTCACCAGATGGTGTACATTCCACAATCGTGGTACATCTGACCCATTAGGGTTCTTTAGTCTATAAGTGCCGGCTTTGATGACGGCGCTGATGATGTAGGGCCCTTCATATTTGAGGGCGAGCTTTCCCCCTTCCATCGGCTTGCTTGCTTCCCTCCGGCGGAGGACGTAGTCCCCCACTTGGAATTCGCGGGAGCGTACCTTGGCGTCATAGTAGGATTTGACTTGGCGTCTGTAGTTTTCTGCCCGAAGGTAAGCCATCTCCCGCCTTTCATCAATGAGGTGCAAGTCAATCTTCATGGCTTCTTCATTGGCTTTGGGGTCGTATTGAGTGACCCGTCGGCTGGGGAGGGTGACTTCAGTGGGAGCCTTGGCTTCGAAGCCGTAGCACAAGGAGAATGGCGTTTCCCCGGTGGCCCTCCTTGGAGTAGTTCGGTAGGACCATAGGACGTTGGGGAGCTCGTCGACCCAACTTCCCCCTTCTTCCTCAAGCTTTTTCTTTAGCCCCTCCAAGATGGTTCTGTTAGCGTTCTCAACTTGCCCGTTGGCCTGAGGGTAGGCAACGGAGGAGAAGCTGTGCTTGATACCCCATTCTTGGAGGAGGCTTTGGAACGGTTCGGCCTCAAACTGGGTGCCGTTGTCTGATATGATCTCCTGAGGCACGCCGAAGCGGGTGAGGATGTTCTTGTAGAGGAACTTTCGACACCGCGCTCCGGTGATGCTTGCGAGTGGTTCGGCCTCGACCCATTTGGTGAAGTAATCGATGGCGACGATGATGTATCTGTTGTTGCCCGCGGCTCTTGGTAGTGGGCCGACGAGGTCGATGCCCCATCTGGAAAATGGAATGGCAGTGCTGACCGGGGCGTAGTTGACGGCCGGCCGGCCAGGTGCCCTTTGATAGTGTTGGCATGCGCTGCATTTGCGGGCGACCTCAGCGCAGTCGCGTGCCATCGTCGGCCAAAAATAGCCTTGGACGACGATGCGCCGTGACATGCTGAAGGGCCCCTGATGCGATGAGCATACGCCGCAGTGGACTTCTTCCATGGCCACTTCGGCCTCATTTTGGTGGAGGCACCGGAGGAGGGTGCCGTTGTATGATCTCTTGTAGAGCTTGTCACCCTCAATGACATAGCCTGGCGCCCTGAGTTTGGCGAGTTTGGCCCTCTCCTCATCTTCGGGTAATGTGCCGGAGGTGATGTAGGTTGCGATGTCGGTGATCCAATCCTCCGGCTGGTGTTGTATGGAGAGTATAGGGCTTGCGTGAATGCTTGACATGCTCAACTCCTCCACCTTAGCTATCTTGGAGATGTGCTCAGGAGTGTCGGAGCTAAGTTTGGAGAGGATGTCGGTCTCGGCGTTCTCCGTCCTTGGGATCTGAGTGATCTCGTAGGTATCGAACGCCTTGAGCAATTCCGCAGCGGCCTCCTTGTATTGCTTCATCCTCCCTTCTTTGGCCTCGTAGGAACCCTCCATCTGGTTCACTACGAGTTTTGAGTCGCATTTGATCCTGATGTGGCGCGCTTTGAGGCCAGCGGCCAGTCTGAGCCCGCTAAGGAGCGCTTCATACTCGGCTTCATTGTTGGATACCTTGAAATTGAAGCGGATGGCATAGTATGCTCTGAATCCTTCTGGGGAGATGAGGACGACGCCACCCCCCACAAGCTTTGGCGGCCGAGGACCCGTCCGTGTAGAGGGTCCAAGCTTCGTCTGGTTCAGCTCCTGTGGTGGTAACGGCCGTCTCCCTTGCCGTGCATTCAGTGACGAAGTCAGCCAAGGCTTGCCCTTTGATGGATGGCCTCGGCTTTATCTCAATCTGGTACTGGCTCAAGAATATTGCCCACTTGATCATCCTTGGGGAGCGGTTGGGCTCCTCATAAGGGCGCCCAACGGCTGATGCGTGAGGACACGGACGGGGTGAGCCTGGAAATAGTGCCCCAGCTTCTTCACCGTGTGGACGATGGCCAGCACCGTCTTCTCAATGGTGGAGTACCTGAGCTCGGCCTCCCGCAACGTCTTGCTGACGTAGAATATTGCCTTTTGTACTCCGCCATCCTCCCTGATGAGTATGGAGCTGACGGCCGACGTGCTCACTCCCAAGTAAAGGAAGAGAGTCTCGCCGGGTTGGGGCTTGGATAGGACGGGTGGGGAGGCGAGATATTGCTTCAGTTCCTCGAAGGCCTGTTGGCACTCCGCCGTCCATTTGAAGCTGGTGGCCTTCCTCATTATTTGGAAGAAGGGGAGCGACTTCTCCGCGGATTTTGAGAGGAAACGGTTCAGGGCCGCGAGGCGTCCCGTTAGCCGTTGTACCTCCTTTATGTTGCGGGGCGGCTCCATGTTGATAATGGCTTGTATCTTCTCTGGGTTTATTTCAATGCCCCTTCGGCTGACCAGGTACCCCAGGAATTTACCTCCCTGGACGCCGAAGGTGCACTTCTTCGGGTTGAGCCGGAGGTTGTACCTCTTCATGATCTCAAAGATGCCCCGGAGGTCGTCGGCATGAGTTGTGGATTGTTTGTTCTTGACGATCATATCATCGACGTATGCTTCCATCGTCCGACCTAAGACTGCTCTAAAAACCCGGGCTACCATCCTTGTATAAGTGGCGCCGGAATTCTTGAGCCCAAAGGCCATGACGAGGTAGCAAAAAATTCCCTCCGGGGTCATGAAAGCAGTCTTCTCCGCGTCATCTTCATGCATGGATATCTGGTGGTACCCTCTGAACGCGTCGAGGAACGACATCAACTCGCACCCTGCCGTCTCATCCACCAACTGATCAATGTTGGGGAGAGGGAATGGGTCCATTGGGCACGCCTTGTTCAGGTCAGTGTAATCAACACACATTCTGAACGTGGGCGGCTTTGGTGCGAGGACGACGTTCGCCAACCACGTGGGGTACTTCACCTCTT